TTTAGAATCTCAAGTTTTAGTACATGGACGCAATGAAATAATTAGATGTATTATTAGAAGATGTACTCAGGGAAAACTAAGAGAAATAAGATTAAGAAATCATTGATGAACAAAGAAAAGTTTTAAATTTAGGGCTTTAAACTGTAGCAGCATAGCAAAGTGACATGCCATTGTTGTTCAAGGGGAAAATACAAACTCCCATCAGAAAAGATGATGTCTGTGCTCCATTTAGCTAACGGTACATTATCTCTGGTGCATCTCCCATCCTGTACCACTTGTATGTTTCTTGGTGGAGGTTATAGGGTTCTCTAAGTATAGTATCATAACATCTGCGAATAGTGAGAGCTTGATTTCTTCCTTTCCTACCTGAATGCCCTTAATATCTTTTTCTTGCCTAATCGCTATTGCAAGTACTTCCAGTACTATATTGAACAGCAGTGGAGAGAGTGGGCATCCTTGTCTCGTCCCTGATCTTAGAGGGAAGGCTCTCAGTTTTTCCCTATTGAGGATAATGCTTGCTGTACGCTTGTGGTAGATGACTTTAACTATGTTTATGCAGTATTATTAAAGTGATGTATTATTCCTGTTGCAATGTAATAAGTTACCCCAACACGTAAGAGATGGAAACTCTAACTTCCAGAAAATTAGAATCACCTGATTTCTAGATTACTCACGTGATAGATGCCCAGATTTGGGGTGACCTGAAGACCAGAGGGCCCACATGTGCTGTGTCCATGTCTCCTACCTTCTTACATTATGTCCATGTCAGGGTAGTTGTACCCTACATAGTGGCTCAGGCTCCCAAGTTCATTGTTCAAGGAAAGAAGGCAGAATTCTCTTAGCCTTTTGTGACCTAGGCTTAGAAGTTCCATAGCCTAATTCTATCCACTTTGTATCACTGAAACAATTATGAACCTTTCAAGATGTAGGAGCAACATAAACCCAATCTTTTAATGGAAAGAGTGTCAAATATAACATACACATATTTAAAAACTTCTCTTTAATCCTCCCGAATATGTCCACCCATTTATTTTCATATTTAAAAATGAATTTCCTCTTTCCTGAGATCCCTAACTTCAATATATAGAATCCAGATGATGTCCAAGCAGGTTTGGTTCCTCTCCTATTAGGAGACTTAAAAATAACAAATTTTATTATTTTATCCCTGACATGGTTTCCTTAGAGTCTCTTTAATTTTTGTCTGGCAACTGATGAGAGTTTTTTTTTTTCCTATCCTGGCTTACTAGACCATTAATACTTTAAACTTTCTGGGTAGATATTTGCTTTGGCAACTCCTTCAGTGGTAGTGTTTTTTTCCCCCCATTTTCTTTGTCATTGTAACTGACTTCATTACTAAAATTCTGCTATTTTTTCTCATTAATCTTCTAGAGTCTTTCCAGTTCCACTCTCCACTGGGTCTTAAAGCTAGTGCTTCTGTGTTTTTGTTACAGTTGTACTCCACTTTCTGGTACCAGATTCTGTGTTGTTTTTGCTCTGGAAACAAATAAAAAAAAATATATAAAGCAGCTACCTAGGATGACTCAAAGACTAAGATCATAGTACTTACAGTATACTCTCTGTGTGGTTTGATTTCATCATAATATGATAGCCCCCTTGTAATCAGATGTGGTGTGACTCAGGACCAAACTCATGTATTCCAGCAAACAGATGTTGGGGGGGGTGGGGGGTATTTGCTTGTGGGGGACTTGTTTCCCTTTTTCCCTTGGCTCTGAGTGTCTTCTTTTGACCATTTTGAATTGATCCAAGCAATAACAAGCCTGTCCAGAGTTAAAGGACGAATGTCAAGTTTACCAGCTGAGATGATAAGTAAATTGAATTATTACTCCCTCACTTTTGACCTTTCAGTAACAAGTGTTAGATTTAAAAATCTGTGACTATGTATACAGATTGGATTCTTAAAACATACATATAATAATTTAGTATGACTTTGGGTAAAGTGATAGTATTATACATAAGTTTTATTTTTTCGCTTTCGGACCACATCTCTCAGTGCTCAGGTCTTCCTCCTGGCTCCATGCTCAGGGGTTAATCCTGGCAGGATTCAGGGGACAGTATGTAATGCTGGGGATCAAACTTTCATGCAAGATGCCTTGCCCACTATACCATTTTACTAGCCATACACATAAATTTTAAAATTCTGTCTAGTTAGTGAAAGTAAAGCTGATTATTTTTTTTCTCATTTTATTTAAACACCACAATTTACAAAGTTGTTCATGATGATTTGTTACATACATTCAATAGTCCCAACCCAACCCAATCCCACCACCACTATCACCTTCCCTCTACCACTATATCCATATCACCGTATGCCCATCAAGCCTGCCACCATAGTCAACCTACAATAATTTCTTTTATATTGGTCTTTTACCACTAGCTAACGGAATGCAAAATTAATATTGTCAATTCTATTTATAAAAGAAATAAAGCTGATTATTTTAATAGATGGTGTTAGATGATCAAGAAGTGACTATAGTGACAATGGATCAACACTGAGACAATATGGTATTTGAACAAAATTGTTTCATTAGGGAAAAGCATTTTAAATGTGACTAAGTATATATATATTTAATATATAAATAGGTTTATATAAAAAGTAATATTCCTGGAAGTTTATTCAAATTTAAAATAAATTTATATTAAATTGGAAGAACAGTGGATGACAAATTTGTAGATGCTTAATACTGAAATACCTACTTTAGAAAAATATAATACCTGGTATCATAGCATTTCATACATATATTTTCCATCAGAGGAAGCAAGAATGCTAGTTTTTACTATTTTTAAAGTGAATTATACAGAACGTCCTTTTTGCTTATGGATGTTTTGCTATTGACTTATTTTACTTTATTTGGGGTTTTTTGTTTGTTTTTTGTTTTATTTTTTGGGGCCACACCCAGGGGCTACTATTTGCAGCTCAGTGCTTGAGTTTCAGACAGAACTTGGGGTACTGTATGGTGCTGGGATCAAACCTGGGCCTTCTATATGCAAAGATTGCAGTCCCTATGATTTATATCCTATGCCCTTCCCCCCTCTTTTTTTTTCTTTTTTTATTAGTGAAACACCATGAGGTACAGTTATAGGCTTACAAATTTTGTGCTTGGGTTTCAGTTATACAATGATCAAATGCCCATCCCTCCACCAGTGCCCGTCATCCATCACCACGGGTCCCAGCATCCCCCCACCCCCCATCCCCCCATCCCATCCTGCCTCTGTGGCAGGGTATTCCCCCTTGTTCTCTCTCTCTTCTTTTGGGTACTGTGTTTTGCAAGAGAGGCTTTGAGTGCCAATCATGTTTGGTCTATAGACTACTTTTAGCATGTTTCTCCCACCCTGGGAGCGTCCCCCTCTGTTTTTACTTCAAAAAAAATTATAGAAAACTGGAGAGATAGTACAGTGGATATGTCACTTGCCTTGTATGCAGCCAACGTAAGTTCAATCCGTGGCACCCAGTATAGTCTTGTGGGCCCCACCAAGAATGATCCTTGAGCACAGAGCCAAGAGTAAGTCCTGAATATTGCTGGGTATGCCCCCAAGACAAAACAAAAAAAAAAAAACCCACAATTTCTAGAACTGTAGTAGAAAAGGATAGGTGACAGGTGTGTTGTGGTAACATTGTACCTCTAAAACATATAAACACACATTTTTGTAATCCATTAGTACCTCAAAAAATAAATTTAGAAATCTTTAAAAAAATTTTATTGGGAAGGTAGTTTACTTGTAGTGATCTTTAATTTTAGAAGCTTTCATGTATGTATAAATTTACCTAGAAGCTTTATTCACTTACAAAGTGCATATTTAATGAATGTAAAATAATTACATGCAGTATGTCTGTGTATTTGTGCATGTGTTCTCACTGAGGTTTTACCATTAACTAGGTATGGTTTCCAACTGTGCTTTTACCACTAGTTTCTAAGTAGCACTGTAGCAATGTTCTCCCGTTGTTCATCGATTTGCTTGAGCGACCACCAGTAACGTCTCCATTGTGAGACTTGTTGTTACTGTTTTTGGCATATTGAATACATCACGAATAGCTTGCCAGACTTTGCCCTGCGGGCAGGATACTCTTGGTAGCTTGCCAGGCTCTCCAAGAGGTCACCATCAGATCATCCTGTTGTTCGTCAATTGCCTCAAGCAGGCACCAGTAATGTCTCCTTCGCCCTAGCCCTGAGATTTTAAAAAGTGCCATATTCAAGGCTCTTTCAGGGTTAGAAGAATGAGACCCATCATTCAGAGAGGGGTAGAGGATAGTTTCTAAGTAAGAAAATGAATTCCTATAAATTCAACTAAAAAAAACAGTGATTACTTTAAAATACTGCAAAAACCCAAAACCAAATAGACTAGTCTGCTAATCCAGATTACTGATCTACTCATTTTTAGTATATACTTAAACTGAAATACTGAGCAAGCTTAGTATTTTCAGGAAATTTTGATAATTGGGCTGGAGCGATAGCATAGCGGGTAGGGCGTTCGCCTTACAAGCGGCCAACATGGCCGACCCGAGTTCGATTCCTCCGCCCCTCTCGGAGAGCCCGGCAAGCTACCGAGAGTATTCGATATGCCAGACACAGTAACAACAAAGTCTCCAATGGAGACGTTACTGGGCCCGCTCGAGCAAATCGACGATCAACGGGAGGGCCTTTACCTTTACCTTTTGATAATTGTTCAGTAATCAAAGATTATTACTATAGGAAAATGAATTGAACATGATAAAGACATCAATTATATCTGACAACCAGTACCATGTGTGTTTTTATTAAAATATTGTCATAGTTTGTGTAGATTGCTGTATTTCAAGAACCCAATAAGTATAAAATTCTAATTGCCTCTTAAATTTTTTATGTAATTGTAGTTTTATCTTAACAGTGTTATACAGACTTTTTTCATTAATAGTTTCCTTTTCAAGGATCAGGAAGCTTACTGCCGTATTGCTGTACTACTTTGCTTAGCTGTTTTTTTCTTTCCCTTGTCCACTTCTCTAGCTTTTCTGCAGTTAGAGAAAAGAGGACCACAGAAACCTCACTTTGATCAGCCTTCAGTAGTACCGAGGAAAAATTACTCATTCTCAAAAGAGGAAGTGAGATTGATTGATCGGGAAAATCAGAGGCTTTTGAAGGAACTCTCAAGACAGGCTGAAAAACCAGGAAGCAGAAGTACAGTTCCTAAAAGATCGTTGGGTCCTCCCCCTAAATTATATCATAGTGCTCTCAACAGACAAAGGGAACAGCAAAGAATTGAAAGAGAAAATTTGGTAAGTAACAAGCTTTTTACTCTTCTAGAAAATTCATTTGACTGTGCACTTTACAACCTGTTTTTGTAGCTAGCAAATTGTATGTTGGTGAAACATTAAAAGAAAGTCCTGAAAGCTTCTTGTTTTTCACTAGATCTGTTAAATTACTGCAGTAATTTAGGAATTAGGGTCCATAGGTCAGATGATTGTTTGACCAAATAATTGCTCTAAATTTAGTATATTTAGTTAGATTCTTGAAAACTGATGACTTATATTTCATTTATTTAAAAGATAAATACAATCTCAGAAGGTCATACTTAGTGATCTTCCACTTAATGTATAAATAATGTTAAACATCAGTCTCAATTTGATCCAATAATTGGGCCACACCTGTTGGTGCTCAGGGCTTACTCCTGGCTCTACAGACTCAGGGATCACTCTTGACAGGGCTTGGGGTACCATATGTGGTGCCAGTGATCAAACACTGGTCAGCCAGGTGCAGGGCAAAAAATCTTACCTGCTGTAATATCTCTCCAACCCCAAAAACATTTGTTATAGTTGCAGGACTACTAAACCAGTCCTTTCACCAGTGTTTCCAGATCCCTCTACCATTATCCCCCTGACCCTGCACACCCCCTCAGTTCCCAGTCCGTTGATCATTTCTTAGGAATTGTTTTCATTGGGGATTGTCTTTCCTTGTTTCTTTATACTCGGCATATGAATGATATCATCTGAGATTAACCTTTTACTTTCTGCTCACTTCAGTTAGCATTCAAGTTACAGCAAATTGCAGTGTTTCATCTTTTCTCACAACTGAGTAGTACTCCACTCTGTGTATGTACCACTGTGTCTTTGTCCACTCATCTGCTGTTGGGTACTTGGTTATTTCTAATCTTAGCTATTATAAATAGTGCTGCAATGAATATAGGTTGTGGTACTAAGTCTTTGAAATCTCTTGTCTATTTTACACTCAGAGTACATCTCTGCTTGAATTCACATTTTGAATGCTGTCTAGACACGTATGGCTGAGGGCCTTGGGTAGTGCAGCTCTGAATCAGAAACTAACATACAGAAGTGCAATGGAAAGTATAACCAAACAGAAAAACCAAGTTAATGTGTTATAAAATACTACTTATTATAAGGAAAGTTAATTTTTCATATCTGACTCTTCATTCTTTAAACCAAAATAAAGCTATTTAATCCTTATCTTTTCAAAGCTGTTTTTGACTTTTCCTTTGGATTCTTCATAATGCTTATTTTTTCTATTTAAAATTTTTTAGTATTTCCATAGAATTTGATTAAGTTTGCAATAAAAATCATATTAATTGGAGTAGGGCATTCTTAAAATACCTTTTATTCTAGAAGTGTAATTTTCTGTTTAAGCCTTCCTATACTATTCCAGTGAAGCTTATTGTTTTCATTAGAACTGTAATTTTGTGTCACTCTGAAATGACACAGATGAAGAAATATGTGTATTTCATTTATTTTCATTATATTTTTATTGCTTTTATAAATGAAGCTTTTTTTGTATTTATTTTATAAAGACCGGTCACCTAGCAAACTCTTATTTAAAGTCACATTGGCTCCAATAATTCTTCAATGTGAGCTGATAAACTTTTAAATCTGAATATCAAGATGTTCATAGAACAATTGTGCATCCACATACAGGCTTTTGTGTTAGCTATTTCTGTGTCGGATATACTGCGCAGAGTACATTTATAATTCTTATGACTTATTTCCGTCCTTTGTTCCGTCTCACTATTGAGACCGGTTGAGATGACTGAGGCACAGTGGCTAATGCCGTTTGTTCCCATAACCTTACATTAACTTGTTAGCAACCCAGAGCTGTTAGTTCATGTAGGGCCACTTCGCTCACTGTGGTTGGGCCGTCACTTTTCCTGGCTTAGGGCACCAGGACTGAACCCCAAACCCATGCTTGCTTTCCACACACAAAGAATGTATACATTCATCTATCTGAGTTATCACTGACCCTCAGCTATTTAGACCAGTGGAATTAAACACAAGTGCTGTGCAGAGAAGGTAGAATGGGGAGATCAAATATATTTCACAAAATTGGGTCTAATTGTTTTTATTTAAAAGTATGCTTTTAAATCTTTCTGGTGAAGTTTGAGATTTTTGTTATGTGTTCCATTAAGTCTGTTTTTCTCTCTCATTCAAAAGGGGGGGAAATCAAAAGAATTTTATCCAGTAGAGGGCGTACATGCTGCACATAGGCCCTCCCGTTGATCGTCAATTTGCTCGAGCCCGGCAAGCTACCGAGAGTATTCGATATGCCAAACACAGTAACAACAAAGTCTCCAATGGAGACGTTACTGGGCCCACTCGAGCTGCACATAGATGTAATTATATTAGAGCTTCGTTGTTTCCAAGAAGAAAATTATTCTGAAGTAGTCTTGTTAAATCATATAATCTCCATTTAAATAACAATCTCATTTTTATGAAAAGTATAAGAATTTTAGGAGGAGGATGGGGAGAACAATAAGGAAAAGAGATAGTTTCACTAGAAGTTTAAAAGAAATGTTTTATTCCTTTAATTATATGTCATTTTCTGAGCTATGAAAGAAGTAGAGGGTAATCAGAGTAAGTTTAGGACTGTAGAGATGGTACTGTGGATAGGACACTTGTCTTGCATGAGGCCTCCCTGGGTTCAATCTCAGGCACCCCATATTATCCCCTGAGTTCACCAGGTGTGATTCCTGAGTGCAGAGCCAAGAGTAAGCATTGAGTACTGCCAGGTGTGGCCCCAATACCAAAAAAGACACCAAAAAAAAAAGTGTTTAGGAAAGATTTCTACAGGAACATATAGGCTTAGAGCCTGGAGCTCTAATGGAATAATAAATCTAATTTATCTTCCTTAATCTTTGTTTTTGAACCTTCTAAAAATATGTATGTGTATACATGTTTGTATTTTAAAACTTAAGGGGGCCCACCTGCTTTAAAAAGTATTCAGTAGTTGGGAAACTGAAGAGAGGTTACAGTGGGTAGGGTGCTTGCCTTGTGTTTGATCAGCTGACCTGGGTTTGATCCCTGGAGCCCCATATGGTCCCCTGAACATCGCTGGTGTGGCCAAAAAGAGACATAGTGGTGTTGAGACACCAAAATAATAGTGGAGGGAGATAAACATTGGTGAATTCATGAATTTTGTGTTCTAGAAAGTACTTGTCTTTTTAAAAACTATTGCTGTTTATCTTGGATAATGTTGAGTTTCAAATTGTTTGTCTTTAACGAAGGCGTTATTGAAAAGACTTGAAGCTGTGAAACCAACAGTCGGTATGAAACGCTCAGAACAGCTGATGGACTATCATCGCAATATGGGTTATCTCAACTCGGTTCCATGTTCAAGACGTGTGAGATCAACTCTTGGCCAGTATAGCCCATTAAGTGAGCATATTCAAAATTATTTTGTTTCCATATTTTATTCTTTTTTTATATTTTATCGTTTAAAAAATAGAGCATACATTCTTTCAGCTATCTTTAAAATACCAATTTTTAGAATACATTATATTCATTTCCAGTCATGCTTTGTGTTTTCAATTTTTTGTGTTAAAGATCAAACCTAGCATGTCATATGTACAGAGCATGTGTTCAAACAACTCACTTGTATTCGAAGTTCCTGGCATGCTACTCCTTTGTATTATTTCACTTCATTTTAGGTTTATCTTACAAAATGTGATGGCATCATAGGAAGAACAGGCAATAAGACTATTGAAACTATCTGTAGAATCTTAGATGATAAGACACTTTTCATAATTTACTAAAGAAAATAAAACAATATGCTGTTTAAATGTTGTTGAAATATTCCTAGCTAGTTACTGATAATATCTTCCTCCAATAGTTACATGTTTTGTCTTTCTCTTAGAGTAACACAAAACTTGACAAGTATAGAGGAGTTATCTGATACATTCTTTCTTAATTTTGGATTTGATCAGTCACTGGTAACAAGTAACCAGTGAACAATGAACACCTAGAATAGAAAGTGCTTTGTGGATTCAAAAACACACCCTACAGAACATCGAAATCATAGCCAGCCATAGTGGGGAACCCCTACTGCTGCTGTGCCCCCTGTTAACTCCAAAAGACAGTGCTCTGTGACTGTGTCTCATCTCTTCTTAAGCCCAGACCCACATACAGAGTTGACTGAACCATCTGCAGGCCGCTGACCATAGCAGGGCAGCTTGGGGGCTGCAAGCTGATTTCAAGTTATTTTGAACATTTAATTGTAGCCCAGTCCCTCTCAGACTGCAATAGGCCTTGCCAAATGCTATACTTTTGGGCTACAGGACACTTAGCAGGTGTTCTTGAACCTGGTACTACAGTTGCTGCACCTGGCAAACACAAATACTTTCTAACTACACATATCTGTTGGGTGTTACAGTTGCCATTGGGCACTTAGGGTTGTGAAACCCCAGTAGGTAACAACACCTGCTTGATCTGGACAGCACAGTAGCTAGCAGCTGTGAACCCTGGATTCTAGCCCATGGCTGCCATGCCCCTGTTGTAGCTGCTTATAGTACACTCATGGCCACAAATTACCAGGAGTCTTCCAGATTGACACAAACTCAGAGCCACAGTCTCTGTCTGGGATTAGCACATGTGAACCCAGGATTGCTGCTTAGGCCTGCACAGACTTGGACCCTTAGTCTTAGCCTTCACACAGCACCTGGCATTATGAAGAAGTGGAGGAATTCACCTGCGTTGATGATGGAAATAAAAATCTGGAAGAACACAAGCACATTAGAGCTTTCTAAACTCTCGGGTGAAGACTTTATGGATTCCCACTTGTTATGATTATCAGTGAATTGAGGATACAGAGACTTTCAATAAACACATAGAAAGTATGAAAAATATAAAGAATTTCATTCGGATCTGATTTGTATTTTTCCTTCCAGAAACTGTTGGTTTTATTTTTCAGTTCCTTTAACTGCAAGGTTAAATTGTTTGTGCAAGGCAAGACCAGCGGCTTACCTGCCATACTACCTCTCCCTCTAAATTCTCCCTATCCTCTCTAGTATCTCAGCAGCATGGTGGTTACATTTTTTGGTTTATGAGGACTTCAGAAGTACATTTCTGATTAGAAATTACATTTTTAAATTGTTAAAAACACTGAGGTAGGGAAGAAAAGTTTAGTCTAAATCTGAACTTAAAATTTAAAAATAAAACTTATTTGATATTGACTTAGCTATTTGGTTTAAATATTTAAAATCGTTTCTTGTTCTTTGTATATTTTCAGGAGGAGCTTCCAGGACATCTAGTGCTACCAGTGGTCTCAGTTGTAAGAGTGAGCGATTAGTTTTTGACAAATCTAATGGCCTGTTGCTAAGACCTAAACCCCCTAATGTCCGTACAGCTTGGTTATAAAACATTTTTTAAAGATTGGACAATTCTTATTGAAGTGCTCTTGTATATTACTATAATTCTCTCTGTAAACATCTTTGATAGGGTTTTAAGCAGTTTAAGGTATAAAACTGTGTTTTAACACTATAATTTGAGTACAGAATTGTTTTAAAAAAATGTAAAACCAGTGTTTTCTATGATGTATTTATAGAAGATGTTTATGACTTAATAGAGAAGTGGTAATATGCATGTGTGCTTTCTCAACACGGAAATAATTCAGCTGTCATGCTGACAAGACAATGTTATAGCATCACTGCACTTTGGATGTTAAATGTATAGTTCTCATTTTACATTTTTCTTTTGCATTTCTTGTAAACTCTAAACCATGAGTGTAGCTCCTAAATTTGACTTTGGTTTGCTTCAGAATTTAGATAGCGCGACTCATAACTTGACTGTAAAATTGTTACACTTTCTTATGACTTCCTGAAATTTATTTTTATTGGTGGAGCAGATTTTAGATTTGATAAGCAGATGGAGAGAATCTTGTTCTGCGTAGTCCTTGTTACTCAGATGTAGTTACTGCCTTTGTAGAAGTGTGCTTAAAGATTTGATCAGCATTCCAAACCATTTCAAACTGTATCTTTGAAAGTCCACTCTAGAATCTCCCATTCTGTAAAGAATTGTTAATGATCTTGAGATGTAGGTGGCTGCAGTCTACAGCTTTGTGAATAAGTTAGGTGGGGACCAGATCATTATAAGCAAAAACAAGTATTTGTTGACTCAGCAAAATAGAACCACTTGTGAAAAGACCAAAGGCAGATTGAGTTGTGTTACTACAGTGTTCTTAGGTGATGCTGTTAGCAGGTTGTAATAGATGTAGTTAATATACATTGAGAGAAGAAAAATGAATGCACCGTCATACAGTTGTAGGAACAGCAGCTAATGTTTTCAAGGAATGAAAAAAGAGTCAGCAATGGTGGTTCTACTTTTTATCTGTTTGACTTTTCAGTCTATCCTTAGAATGTGTTGCAAGGTATCCATATGCCGTGTTAATCTTTATTAATCTGATATTAATCATTGTTTCAAATTATGCATTTTAAAAACTTGATAGCCACAAGAGGATTTTTCATTTTTCTTGTGTTAGCATGTCCTCTCTTAGTACATCTTTGGCAGTAAGCCAAACATCATTTAACTAAACATCAATTCAGAATTCCTTGGTCTTAGTTCATATTTTGTTAAGGGTAGAGTGTGAGAAGAATGGGAACAACAGGTTTTAAATACATGTGAATGCAGCCTGACTCAGATTTTTCTGCTTCTTTCTTTGGACTATCATGATTGTGAGATATTTCTCAATGCTTTTTTCTGGTGAACAGATTTTTACTGCTTTACAGATAGGTTCCATTTATACTAAACAAAGTTTTTTTTAACTTACTGCAGTTTTTAAATGCTTATATAACAGCATATTTTCTGAGAGAAAAATTGCTGTAAAGTTCTGCATTTGGACATCTTCCCATTAATAAGCTGATTTTCAGTTGATTTTTAATTAAGGGGGAAAAGTGACTCCTTTTAATTTGTTATGGGAAAAAAAGTGACTCCTTTATGTTCATAATGGCATTTGTCGCTAAGTAAATTTTGTAAGAATTTTGTTGCCACATCAAGAGACAGTACATAGTTTATAGTAAAAGCTGTACTTGATTTTAGATACTAATTTTAATGCCTTTGGTTTTGACTATGAAAGGGGAAATTTATCTGACTGATAATAGGGATTCAGCTTAAAGTTGAATGAACTCAAAATGAAGAAGAGTAGCATTGTTTATCTTTCCAAAGCAGGACTTACAGATCTGTTGTATATCTCTTATATGTGATAAATAGAAGGATAAGAGTTGGAAGTGGGATGCTCTGACATAAGTCAAGATACTTTAATGTTGTCATGGTTTAACAGTCCTTTTTATGAAGGAATCACAATACGATATTTTCAGTGCAAGAAGATAGTGACGGATAATCCAGCACTTCTTGGTTTACGTCCCTAATTATATATTTTGAAGATTTACATCTGCCACTAGAAATTATAATAATCTAAAATCTAGAATTATTAGGCACAGTTCTTTGTAAAAGGTTAAGCTAATGTTGCCCCAATTATAATAAGAATATGAAAAGTTTTAAACTAAAATTTCCTAGTGAATAGTTATGATCTCGTCTTTCACCATCTCTTTTCAATCTTTACAAAAAGCTGCTCTCTTAGCAAATAAAAATATTCTTGTTTGCTTCTAAATTTAATACAGTGTATTTAACCTATTAACTTAAATGTCCAAAGTGAATATAGGCAACTTTAAAGAGCACTCTAGTAGGATTTGTGTGCTTCTCATCTTCTGAATCAAATACTGCACACTATGAAAAGTATTATGAGCAATATAAAATCGGATATATTTTATTTATTTACTTTTTAATAAATTCATAAATGTCTAATATTTTAAATGCCAAAGTCATATAACTGATTGTAAACCATCTTAGAAAGTGTATTTAATGCTCTTGGCTTATTCTATTTCCATGAATAAAGATTGGTAGGAAATTTAAATTCCCCAATCACTGTGATGTATTTTAGGCATGAAAAATAGATTGACATAGTAAATAAATAAAATAATTGAAGATAACTGGACTTTCATTCTTTGTCTCGGCTGTCTTGTTTTTTTTTCCCCCATTATTTAAATTATTAGAGTAGCATTTATAAAAGCAAGAATTATTGAGAATGCAGTTGGAAGAAGGGGTGATATATTTTCAAATTCTGACCTTTATGAGGGGAAAAGTTTGCTTAAAGTTTCTTTCTTTATCATTCCCTTAAGTAACATCATCTGATTTGTTTTGGAAAATTGAAATGATGCTACAGTGGTCAGTTGCTACAGTACAGTTATTTAAACATCGGGTATACAGTGGTATCTAATTGTGATTTTAATTGAATTGCTCTAATAATCAAACATTTTCTGAAGTGTCTTTTAACTTAAAAGGTTTGAGTTTTTAAAAGTTTTCTTTTTGGTTTCCTCGTGGTTGAATGTTTTTCCTTATTAAGAAAGGGTGTTTGCCCAAAAGGAGAGAGAGAACACAGGGGATTGCCCTGCCACAGAGACGGGGGGATGGGGGGATGGGGGTGGGAGGGATATTATCCATGGTGGTGGAAAATGGGCACTGGTGGAGGGATGGGTATCTGATCATTGTATAATTGAAACCAAAGCACAAAAAATTGTAAACCTACAACTTTAAAAAAAATAAAATAAAATAAAGGGGAAAAAAAAAAAAAAAAAGAAAGGGTGTTTGGACGTTCGATATACCTGAGTTATAGTGCAGATATTTTTAGCAATCTAGCTTGCTTTTTCACTATAAATGATATTGTTGAACAGAAATTGATTTAACTTCAGTTTGATTCATCAATATGTTCTTTAATTTTAAAAATGAATTTTATGAAAATTTGATTTTCCTGAGGGCTTAACAGTATTCTGCAATATTTTCGTCGGGAAGTTTTCTCTTTCACACTTGGATATTTATGTGGTTGTGGCACTCACGCTCACACTGTTTTTCAGTTTACTCTCATTTTCTTGTATACTTTCTGGTGATGACATGCTCTGGTGTTTGTGGTATTTGCCCATAATTAACTGTGGGGCACCCAAGATTGCATACTTAGTTGTGCTGGCTAGCAAGGTAACACCAGAGACCAAACTCGTGGCCTCACACCTACAAATCAGGTGTTCTACCACTAACCTGTCCCCAGGTTCCAGAGTTTTTTTTTTAAATGGGATATCTTTGAAGTATTTGTGGTTTGGGTTTATATGAAAACTTGTAAAAAGAACATTATAAATAGATAAGTTGGCAAACCAGATTCATCAGCCCTGTGCCTTTTCTGACTTATTTGTAAAATTAAAAAAAAGAAAAAAAAAAACAGAAGAAAACCCCTACTTACCTGGCAGGGGATATACCATGATCACGAAGGGAGTTGTCACAGGGCGAGGCTTATCCATTGCGCTTTGAATGTACTGACCCCTGCAATTTCCCCCAAATGTGGGGAACTCAGCTGCATAATTTGTGGTAGTGGGGGACTGAGTTCACATTCTCCTCTGGTTTGAAAATAAAATCTTTTTAATTTCAGAACAGTAGTTGTGATGAAAATTATTTGGAATTCATTTTAATTTTTAGGTATATGTTTGTAATTCTGTCAATTCTCCTTGTGTTAGTTTTCTCCTATAACATTACAAAAACTGGAAAGTACAAGTTAGGATCCTAAAAGCCTCTGGTCACATTTTTTTCAACCGATGTGTGACTTAGTGTTTAAAGGAATATATTTAATACATATTTGTGATTCTTTAACATTGAGCTCATGATCAACAGCACCATAACTCCTCCCTAAAGGAAGCTTATCTAACACATGGATTTTCTCTGTGAGGCAGTCACAGACTGAGGAACATTAGGCACCACTTCGGACCACTTTAAAAAAGAAAAATCAACAAAAAATGAAACAAGTAGCAAGGTAGGGCTCAAAAGCACTGCTTCATTGAGCGTTGCCTTCTTGAATCTCTGCTGGGAACATGTCTACTGGTCAGTACAAGTCCCAACACAAAGGACTTAGAAATAAACTTTAGGGCCAAAGAGATAGTACAGGGATTAAGTAAGCCTTGCATGTGGCCAACCACAGTTTAAGTCCTGGCACCACATATGGTCCCTGAACACTTCATGTCAGAAGTGATCACTAAACACAGAGCCAGGAATATGCCCTGAATACTGCCTGGTATAGATTGCCCAGACCCCCACATCCCCTCCTTAAACCCCCCCCCCAAAAAAAAACACCTCAGGAGGGTAATTCTCAATAAAGAATCTGAATGAGAGCCAACTGTGCTTTATAATGGGTTGCTAAGAACTCGTTTTCAAGAGAAGCAGAAAAGTAAATAAAATATGGCATGCTGGATGTCATTAATATTTGAGGACTTAAAATTTGAATTTAAGGCAGCTGTACATGTTCATCCCTTACATAATCTCAAAACATGTTTGTCTACTCAAGATAACCTTCTGCATGTTCAGAGTTCCATACGGTCAGGTAGACTTGACTTGACTTCCCCCGTCCAGGCTCTGCTTTCTTGATCTGTGTCCCGCCCTGGACAACCCCTGATGACTTCTGTTTGTTTTTTTGTTTTTTTTTTTCCTTTTTGGGTCACACCCAGTGATGCACAGGGGTTACTCCTGGCTCGTGCACTCAGGAATCACCCCTTGTGGTGCTCACGGGACCATATAGGATGCTGGGAATTGAACCCGGGTTGGCCGCATGCAAGGCAAAAACGCCCTACCTGCTGTGCTATTGCTCCAGCCCTTTTTTTTTTTTTTCTTTTTTGGTGTCACACCCAACGATGCTCAGAGGTTACTCCTGGCTCATGCACTCAGGAATTACTCCTGGCGGTGCTCATGGAACCATATGGAATGCTGGGAATCGAACCTAGGTCAGCCATGTGCAAGGCAAACGCCCTACTTGCTGTGCTCTTGCTCCAGCCCTCTTCCTCCCCCCAACCCCCCGCCATCTTCCAACTTCTGAAATGAGACTATGGGCAGCGCACTCCCTCCAGTGTACATTCTTAGATATTCTTTGCATTCATTCTTGCATCCAACAAGTTGTTAACACCTTTCGTGTTTCAGGTACTCTTCCAGGACATGACAGATGGCAGTGAAAATGCTAAGGATCACCAACTTTGAGCATTTTACGTGTCCTCAGAGCTTTGCACTTAAGTGTTTAATACTACCATAGCACATATTATGCTGCATATTTTACACAAAAGCGGGTAGGGCATTTGCCTTGCACGCGACCGATCAGGTCGACCCGAGGCAAGCTACCGAGAGTATCTCGCCCTCACGGCAAAGCCTGGTAAGCTACCTGTGACATATTCAATATGCCAAACACAGTAACAAGTCTCACAATGTTACTGGGCCTGCTCAAGCAAATCGATGAACAACAGGAGATCAGTGACAATGTTAATTGAAATACCAATTTTAATAAGGTTTTTCTGTTTTGTTTTTTAATGTCTTTTGTTTTTTAAAATATCTACAGGTGGGGGCCAGAGTGGTAGTATAGCAAGGCACTTAACCTTACATCTGTAAACCCAGATTCAGCTCTCAGCTCCACATGGTTCCTTGAACCCTGCTAGGAGTGATCCCTAAGCACAGAGCCAGTAAGTCCCAAGTATAGCTGAGTAGAGGCCTCCCCCCAAATTTCCAGCTAACTTCATCCTACATATTTTCCCCACATTTAAGTATAAAAATAAGGGGGCTAGGGCCAGAGATTTTTGAAGCAGCCACTCACCTTACATGCAGCCAATTCCAGTTCAATCCCTGGCAATACACTTAAGCACTGCTTGGGCCAAATCCAACACACGCGCATGCGCGCGCACACACACACACACACCCTGCAAATCCAAGCCTGCCACTGCATACACACACACACACACACCCTGCAAATCCAACCCCGCCACTGCATACACACACACACACACACACACCCTGCAAATCCAACCCTGCCACTGCATACACACACACACACACACACACACACACACACACACACACCCTGCCTGCTCAGCATTGAGCAGTGCCTGTGTATGGCTCTAACACCACCCACTCCCACCCCCAAATAAAATACGGTGGCTTAGAAGAAGATCACTGTACTTAGGGCTTTAAGGATAAGAATACATAAAAAATGAAAAATACTTTTTCTTAGTGCATGTAAAGGGAGAGAATGGGGGCTAGGGAGAAGTTCAGAGGTTGGACACTCAATTCCCAGTTGCTAGTTAAATGCAAGTCCTTTTCATCTTTGCAGATCAAGATGGGCTTGCTTTGCGTACAGCCAATCTGGGTTCCATTCCTGAGCACATGAGCACAGAGCCATTGCTGGGTATTGCCCAAACATCCCACTCCCCACCCCTAAGAGTCTAAAAAATAGGACAACAGCGAGAAAGGCTGCCTTATCACAGCAGATCACTGCATCCCATCAGAAGCTTGAGAGTTTTAGGGGTTACTATTGAATGAATTTGCCTCAGTGAGAAACTGATTCTACAGGACTCCTTAGATCTCAATTTAATCTCTAATTTCTTAATGTTAAAGGTGACATGCAGAAGTAGGGGTGGCCTAACATCTGTGTCACTTACAGAGTGCAGCTAATGTATACCAAATGATAATTCTCTACTTCCTGTTCCATGTTAAGGACCAAGTTAAAGACTAGGAAAAACATTTTTATTGTTGGGCTAAGAGGATCAACAATTCATTGATTCCCAGCTTCTTTTCAAATTCTTCCTCAGCTAAACTCAGGTTTGAAGAATCTGAAAGGGCAGGTCTTATTTTTATAACATACTGCACCAAAGTATTCCCTTCTCAACCATCCTGCTTTCCTTTATCCTTCAACAGATTTTGAATCATTCCCGTCAGCCTACTTAGTATAGAAAGCAACATGAAAACTTACCTAGAAGCATTTTGATCTCCGCATAGATTTAAGACCCCAGTTCTCTAGAGGCCTGAGAAACAAAAGACCAAGTACTTCCTGGCCTTGAAATGAGATTTGAGAGACATTCTTTTCTGTGTTTTTAGCCTTTCCCTGGGAGAGAGCTCTACTAGGTTAAGGTATATGTAATCTTAGATATGATACAGCCTGTTCCTTATTTTCTGTCAGTTATCATGGCAAAAGGGGCAGTTTCTAATTGAAAAGGCGGGAAAAGTGTTGGAAGGAGAGTAAATTACAGGGCATAGGGGTAGCACATAACTCAAACCAACTTTTATGTATCTGGAGAAAGACTTGTACTCTGTGTACTCTGAGGACAGGGTTAGCTTCCTCTGTATCAGTCTCAGCAAGTGAAGACACTTGACTGTTCAGTTTTCTGACCCAAAGTGCTTGACTGCCAGATTGCAATTTAATGAAATACCTTTTGCTCACAGATGTATGAATCAAGTTCAAGCTGACTCCTCTAGTTCCTGCTGAAATGTCAGTGTGACATATTCATTTGCCTAACAGCAGCAAATGCTTTCTATGTCCATGCATCTGGAGTTTTCTTTCAAGGTTTACCTTCTCCATTGCCGTTCCTCCCTCCTCCTAGTCCTACTCAACTTATTCATCATGTTACACACTGCTCTTTTGCAATACTGTTTACTCCTCCCTCCCCATTTAAACTTGAGAATGGACCTAAACATTAAGTGCTAGCCTGCTAAGTATTTCTTGTGAATACTGTCCACTTGCATAAAATTGCATGTCATAAAATTTTATCCCAGTTCTCTAAAGGCCTTAAAAACAAAGTACTTCCTAATCAGGCTTGACTAAAAACTGGCTTAAAGCTTATTGTGGAACCTTAGAATCCCTGCAGACTGACTGTCAGTTCCTAAAGTAAGGCGAGCCTTGGGAAGCCATAATTCCTGTCAGCACTCTAGAGTTTAAAAACTATGGCCCTGAGGTAAGGGAGAAACTTTGCATAATAGCCCGCTGAAGGTTGAAAACAATGTTAAATATTGTGGATACTTGGTATGATAACGGCATACTATCAAACATGCAGAAACTTAGTCCTGGTTTTATAATTTATGCTCGAAAACAAATTTGTGATCTGAATTTATCTTGCAGTTACTAAGAAATCAGTGAGAAAACACTCATTAAATGGTCTTTTATTGATATTTCACATCTGCTTTTCAGTTAAGTATGAGACGTTATTTCATATTTATTGTGGGAATTCAAATGTAAAATAAATACAAAACACATTTGTGGTTTAATGAACACTCGATGTTAAGGTTCTGTTGTTGTTTCTGTTCTTTGAGGTATTATTCCTTTCAGTCTGGTTTCATCCGAGAACTTTTTACTTCTAGGAAAGGTCTATTAAACCATTCATGGATCTAGAACCAATGATCTTGAGTTTTAATTACCAGATTAAACATATTTCTTAATCTCATCATACAATACCAATACAAAAGCACCACCCATGCCTCTCAGTACATTGGACCAGGCTCCTTTGAAGAAAGCATTGACACCTTCATCTCTTGCAATCTTGCTCCAGCAGTCCAGTGTCCCCGTGTACATAATATCCGCTGTGAGAAAAAAGAGTTGGTAAGGACTCTGGAACTTACTCTAGAAAAGGAGTTTTCCCCAAAAAGACATTTGCACACAATGTACTATGAAAGTAAGGCTCCCGGAGCCTTAAACCACACTCCAAAGTAACACTCAACTGGACACCACTTCCTTGGCAAGGCCTTTGTAACGCTAGTCCTGCTAGCTCAAGATCAAGCAAAAAACTGGGGCAAGTCACGGCCTAACCTGGACTGTCCAACTGTAGAACAGGAAGGGGGCAGAGTACTAAGCTGCGTGGCCTCCTCTGTTATAGATTAAAGCTGAGGCCTACTCTCTTGAGTATCCTGCTCAAAATGATGCAACTAAGCTGATCAAAATAAAATTTATCACCTATGTTTCAATGTAGAAAAATCAAAATGTGTTCTATGGCTAAAGATCATAAGGCCTCTCCCACCCGACTTAAATCACTCATACCTATAGTCACTTGTAAAAGTAGGTAAGAGAAACAAGAATGACGTGTAAATATAGTTGCAGATGTAATTACTTTCCCTTGATTCTGCACCCAGGGGAAAGGTGGAGGTCCTTATGGTATTAAGCTAAGTACAGTCACATCAAATACCCCATTTTGATCTTCTTTCTTGGAAGAAATGGTTGAGAATGTTAGTGGCAATCAACAATCTTGACACATCATCCTTCCCAGCTCAAATGATGAAGATTAGAGAGAGCAGTGCAGTGTTCTCTTGAGTAGAAAAACAAGGTTCAGTTAGTAGGTCTCAGGCTTACCCCCTTTCCGACCGGACTGCATCATCATCCTACGGCGAACCGTGTCAAAGGGGTAGGACACCAGACCTGCAACCGCCGTCACGCTCTGGGCAATCATCCAGCTCACAATAATGTGCACATTCTTGGGGTCCGGCAACATCCCTGTGGGCAGAGCCAAGAACAGCTAGGAAGCGCTTTCTCCCGGCAGCCTAGTGAACAGCAGGTGAGGGCGAAGAGCTAAATCCTTTTCTACTGGAAAGTCTGGCCCCTGCTGCAGTGCCTCTCAAATAACCAGGCCATCAACCTGGGCAGGCAGGGGAAATCAGATTCCAATCCAGACCCGGGACCAAGGTGACATGGCTCTACGTTAAAATGGCAGCCAATAATGCTGTCACGTGGGAGTTAAGCTCCCCCTTTTCCTCTCTGGGTAAGTCAAGGCAGAGGTGACTGCAGCAGATGGACAAAGAGAATCCGTACCACTTCCTCATTCAGAAACCTGTTTAGTTCAGGACAAGGGCGGGAAACAAGAGCAGAGAGAAATATTCAGGAATACTTCTGCATACCCCTCCCTCCATCTGGGGCCCCCCAGCACTCTGCACTCACCCTTGGCAGTATCATAGACTCCGAAGTAGGCAGCTCTGTAGATAATGATGCCCTGGACAGACACACTGAACCCCTGGTAGAGACCCTTCAGGCCATCAGACTTGAAGATCTTGCTGAGACAGTCGCCCAGACCACTGAACTCACGCTGGGCGGAACCCTTGCCAACATCAGCAGCCAGCCGGGTCCTGGCAAAGTCCAGTGGGTAGACAAAGCAGAGGGAGGTGGCCCCAGCTGCCCCACCGGAAGCCAAGTTACCCGCAAAGTAGCGCCAGAACTGCTTATGGCGGTCCACGCCCCCCAGGAAGATCTGCTTGTACTTGTCCTTAAAGGCGAAGTTGAGAGCTTGAGTGGGGAAGTAGCGGATGACATTGGCCAGGTTGCCCCTCCAAAAGGAGGCAAAGCCCTGCTCCTTGGGGATTCTCACCACGCAATCCATGATACCCTTGTACTGCTTCTCAGCACTGATCTGTTTGCTGGCATGCTGAACCTGAGCGGGGGGAGGGAGGGGCAGAGGAGAGCGATCAGGAGCCAGAAGCTTGCACTGCCTTGATTTCCTTTATAAGACCATCCGGGGAAATCAAATGACTCGGAAACGTAAATGTGTCAGCAAACCGGATAATGAGACACCCGCTCCCCCCAATCCAATCTTGCCAGTTACCGGGGCCACTGAGAAAAGACTAGGACAGAAAGCATAGAGATGAGGGGTCAGGGAGGCAGTACAGTGGGTGGGGCGCTGGCACACAGCCAACCCGGGTTCCATCCCTGGACCATATATGGTCCTGCACCACTGGGAGTGCTTCAACAGCAGAGCCAGGAGGAAGCCCTGAGCACAGCCAGGAATGCCCCCTCCAAAAAAAGAAAGGTAGGGTGGGAAGAGGAAAGACTTTCAATTGTGCACAGATGAAAACTGCTTTTCTCCTAAGTGCCAGATCCACACAAGGGGAATCTGGGAGACAGAAATGATTAGATAAGCTCCTGCGTGGGCCCCCTGAGCAGACTTGCTTGGGCAGGAGCGAGGACTCCTACCTCTGTGCTCCCTGGACCGCTACTAAACAACTGACAGTGTTTAAAGAGCAAATCCACAGACATGAGCCAACATTTTTAAGCAACGCATCCAGGGGCTGAATGACCGGAATCTACGGCTGCGGTGTGCAATGTGCTGGGCGGAGGGGTCGTCACGAATGATTCTGACACCCAAACGGAGTCGTCCGCTCAATGCCTCCGTGAGGGGCCCTGGCCTTAGGGGCACGTGGAGATGAGAGAACAGAGACGGGAGGACGATCCTAAGTCATTCAAGGACCAGCTGGGGCAGAGAAGAAGAAGGGGGGAAAAAAAAAAAAAGGTAGAGCTTTCGGTGTCTCCTCCAAAAAAAAAAAAAATCGTTTGCAATCTCTCAGAGATGCGTCCCCCCCAGTCCGCAAAGTGCTCGAAATAGGACGCTCTGACAGTGGGTTACATAAAAAAAAATGAATGAATGAATGAATGAATGAAGAGACCACACGCGCGTGCCCGGGGAGCCACTGCATCGAGGAGGATGATGATGCTACGGTCCAAGGCGGGGGTGCGGGTAAGCGAGCGGAAAGCAAAAAAAAAAAAAGGTGAGCGCGACCTGGGGGGTCGGAGGGCAGCGCCAGCCCCGTCCCGGGCACGGGGTCCGGCTGGCGCGACCCCGGCCCCGGGTGGGCTTCCGAATACAGACACGAACGCCCCGCGCCACCCGACGCCAGGGCACCTTCCCGGGGGCGCGGGGAGCGCGGGCGGGCGTTCCTGCCGCGCCCACCCGGCCCGCTGCTGCGACCCCGCCCCCACCCGCGCCCCGCCGCCCCCGCGCCCACCTGCAGCAGCAGCTTGACCCTCTCGATGGGGGCCACGGCGGTCTTGGAGACGGCAGCGGCGATGCCGCCGGCCAGGAAGTCCTTCACGAAGCTCATGGCCTGGTCACCCATGACGACAGGCGCGCGCTCGCCCGCTCTCGCCTCGGCCCGGCCTGGCACCGCCGCCCCGTGCCCGTCCCCGTCCCCGCGCCCGTGCCCGTCCCCGCGCGACGCGTCGGAGCCGCCGGGCCCGGCCCGCAGCGGCGCTTATATCCCCGCGCCGGGCTCTCGCGAGAGCGGGCGGGAGCCGGGGGCCGCGCGCGCCGCGCTCATTGGCTGAGCCGATGCCCCGCCCCTCGCCCCGCCCCTCGCCCCGCCCCGCCCCCAGCCCCGCCTCCGCAGAGGGCAACCGGGGCGCCGGCGCGGGTGGGCGCGGGCGCTCGGACGTTTAAAGGGCAAACGCGCCTGATCGGGGCCCGCGAGCCCAGGGGACGCCGTGTCTCTGCGGCGCCCGGGCCAGCTGTATTTATAGCCGAGGGAGGCTGGGCCCGACCCGGGGGGGACGCCCGCAGGCCCTGGAACCCCGGGCGCGGCGGTGGTCGCACGCAGGCCGGGTTTTTCGGGGTTTTTTTTCCCCCCCCCTGCCGGGATGTCGGTGCTCCCCGGAGCTGTTGTGCTTCTTTTGCAGAATGAATGGAACCTCGATGCTGCGATTGCCTCGCGCAACCCCGCAACCTGCTGCATCCCGCTCTGGTCCCGGTTCAGACGTTCCAGGGCGTGTTCTCTAGAGGTCAAATTTTTTTTTTTTTTTTTTGCTTTTTGGGTCACACCCGGCGATGCACAGGGGTTCCTCCTGGCTCTGCACTCAGGAATCACTCCTGGCGGTGCTCGGGGGACCCTATGGGATGCTGGGAATCGAACCCAAGTCGGCCGCGTGCAAGGCAAACGCCCTCCCCGCTGTGCTGTCGCTCCAGCCCCTAGAGGTCAAGTCTTGATGGGCCGGAATCTCTGGCCGGAGCATCCTGTGCTGTGGAATGGGGCCAAGGGCGGAGTGGGGGGTGGGGGGGCTCACTCGAATACACGCTGCACATCCTCACCCCGTGACACCAGCTTGATGATTCCAATAGGGACCTTATTGGACCACCTTTTTTTTTTTTAATTTATTTTTTAGAGTAAAATTTTTTCATTTTTTAAATTTTTTTTCTGTTTTTTTTATTTTTATTTTTTTTTATTGATTTTTTTTTATTAGTGAAACACCATGAGGTACAGTTGTAGATTACCAATTTTCTGTGCTTGGGTTTCGATTATACAATGATCAGATACCCATCCCTCCACCAGTGCCCATTTTCCACCACCATGGATAATATCCGTCCCACCCCCACCCCCTATCCCACCCTGCCTCTGTGGCAGGGCAATCCCCTATGTTCTCTCTCTCCTTTTGGGTGTTGTTGGATCACCTTTTGATGAAGCCCTTAAGGACTTCTTCTGCCACGCAGCTCTCAACGAAATGGCAGTGGCTATTCTGGGCAACATCCTGGCAGCTGGCAGCTTCGGAGGGTCAGTGCTCTTAGCCGCCTCTGTCCTTCCCTTTGAGTAGTGGGGTGGTGAGGACGTGCAGTAAGAAAATGGGGAGGAGCCCTTGCTTGTATTTGCTTCTTTGCTAGGCTTTAAATTTTTTTACTTCTTTTCTAGGGACAAACTCTTTAATCCTAAAAAATTGATTGCAATTGATTTTATATATGTGTGTATATATATATGCATACATATATAAGCTTATATATGTGTGTGTGTATATATATATATGGCAATTCATGTAAAAAAGGATAGTTTTTTTGTGGGGAGGCACACCCTGCAGTGCTCAGGCATTACTCCTGGCTCTGCACTCAGGAATTACTCCTGGCAGGGTGCTCAGGGGACCATATGGGGTGCCTGAACCCCGGAGGCCACATGCAAAGCAAACACCCTCCCTGATGTACTGTCATTCTGGCCCGATAGACCTTTTCAAATACACTTATTTCTCCCCCTAGAATAATTGCTATTAGTTTTAATTTCTTGTCTCTACTCTGTTCTTCCCAAGGGTGTTAACACTTCCTTTAGCATTTAACAAACATATTATTTTCTTTTTACCACAAGCTTGCTGATGAATGTCAACATCCTATTGAGTTGATGTTTGTTGGGTGTTAGGGTAGGTCTGGAGACTTAGTAGAGCAGAGGTCACTGACTAAGTGCCAGGACGAGGAGGATAACATTTGTCTAAAGCTGGGTCAGACTAAAACTGGAAACCCAGATGAGCATCTGAAAACTAAGTGCCCAGTTGACAGAGGTTAGAGCAGGCAGAAGGGCAAGGCCTGAGGATAAATAAAAAAGATTATTAAGTGTTCATACAACAAACACCAAGAATTTTTTTGTATACTGAGGATTCCATGTAAGTTTTGAGTCAGTCTTCAAGAAATCTAGGGTTCAGCTGTTGATATTTATCATTTGTTCAGTTTTATTCATCATAGCTTCATACATAGATTCATATGATCATGTAATCCAAATATTATTGCACCTCATAAAAAAGATGCTTTTTTTTTGGAATTGAAACTGATACAACTGTATTTATGTACAAGATGTTTTTTTTTCCTCCTAAGTTTTTCCCTTCTCATATGTTTTACAAAATGAATGGGTGCATTGAGTGTTCTAAAAGTTCTTTTTTTTTCTTTTTTTTTGGGGGGGGTCACACCTGGTGATGCACAGGGGTTACTCCTGGCTCTGCACTCAGGAATTACTTCCGGCAGTGCTCAGGGGACCATATGGGATGCTGGGAATTGAACCCGGGTCAGCCGCGTGCAAGGCAAATGTCCTACCTGCTGTGCTATCACTCCAGCCCCTAAAAGTTCTTTTTAGCTCGTGCTCCATATTGAGAAACTCATAGTCACCAGCAACATAGGAGTCTCTTGTCTTCTACAGATCCTCTTCCAACACTAGCTCTGTTTTTTTCACGAAGTTTTGTGTGCTGGATGGTACCATTTGTTCTTAGCTGGGGGCGGCAGTGGGGGAGGTATTCCTGGCTCTGTGCTCAGGTTATAATAGTGCAGGGATGAAATCGGAATTGGTCTTGTTTTTTTTTAATCAATTATTTATTTTATTGAATCACCATGAGATAGTTACGTAGCTTTCATGTTTGAGTTTCAATCATACAATGATCAAACACCCATCCCTCTATCAGCAAACATTTTCCACCACCAATGTCTCTGGTATACCCCCCTTTCCAATCCTCCCCCTGCCTCCGTGGTCTTCTGTGAGGCAAGTGCTTTCACCACTGTATTATCTCTCCAGTCCCCGATTTGCTCTTCTTTCATTGATATTTATTTCAAATAGTCATAGTATTCTCAAGTATTCCAGCACTAATGGGGGAGGGCATATCACACCCATTGGTTCTGGGGGGCTACTCCCAGTTCTGTGCCCAGAGGTAGACCCTAGCAATGCTTGAGGGACCATTTCGTGCTGGGGATTGAACCTGGGATGGCAGCATGCAAAGTGACCACCTTAACCCCTATATTCCTATATCCCTATACTCTGGCCTTCCAGCATTAATTCTTTTTTTTTTTTAATTTTTATTAGTGAAACACCTTGAGGTACAGTTGTAAACTTACAAATTTTTGTGCTTGGGTTTCAGTTATACAATGACCCAGTACCCATCCCTCCACCAGTGCCCATTCTCCATCATTTACCACGGGTCGCGACCATCCTGTTATCCGTCGATTGCCTCCAGCAGGCCCCAGTAACTTCTCCTTCATCCTAGCCCTGAGATTTTTAAGAAAGTGCTATATTCAAGTCTCCTGCCCCCGCGCCTGACTATCCTCGCCGGGGCCCCTTGGAGGGGAGCGGGTTGAGCTTTCCTCCCCGCCCTGACCAGGGCTCTGGCAGCCAAAGACTTCCAGGACCAGCCACCACCATGCTGAGACCACTCTCCGCACACATGAAGGTACTGGCAGAGGGACAAAGCCACGCGGGTTCCGGGGCCGAGACCTCCAAGCCTACTCGGATTGGAGTCGAGCATCCTCCACCCAGGTCCTCCAAATTCCAGTAGGTGGGGGTCACACCCACCACCTGGCCCCCTGGCGCCGTGTAATCCCATCAGCAGCCAAGACTCAGAGACTATAAAAACCAGCTCCCGGAACCGCGCGGCTGCATTCACAGCCACGCAACATCTTATTATGACGTCTTATTATCTCATTCCTACTTTGGACAAAGTGGCAGGCTACCGAATGTAACCTGCCTACACGGCAGAGTCTGGCAAACTCCCCGTGGCGTACCCAATATGCCAAATACCTCCATCATTTACATTTTAAAAAAAAATTTGTTAATGAAACACCATGAGGTACAGTTGTAGATTTACACATTTTTGTGCTTGTGTTTCGATTGTACAATGATCAAACACCCATCCTTCCACCAGTGCCCATTTTCCACCACCACGGGTCCCAGTATCCCTCCCACCCCCCATCCCCCATCCCACCTTGCCTCTGTGGCAGGGTATTCCCTTTTGTTCTCTCTTTCCTTTTGGGTGTCCAGCATTAATTCTTAAGTAAATATTTTTTCATCATTATGTGTTTTATATTAATAATTCCTGTTTGTTACATAAGTGTTTATAACAGCTTTATTTTCTAAAATCACCATATCAGAACTTTCTCATTTGGTCATTGAAAAAAATTTTTGAAGACTTATGGATTTGACACCCCTTAAAAAGTTAAATTTCATCTGCTTCTATGCCACAATTATTTTCACTGTCAAGTCGTTCAATTGTTTAAAGAGCTCCAGATTTTTAAAAGACATTTAAATTAAATGTAAACTTAATTAGTCTATTCATTCTGGGCATATCATTGCATTTGTTACACTTAACTGCTGGTCAACAGTTTGGGTCTTTTTGGGATGGGTGGTAGTTTTGGCTTCTTTCCAACTGTCCTGCAGGGTCAGGAGAGCAGCTGGGTGAGAGATTTTGGAAAGGCAGCAGCTGCCCTTTCCATCCATGGACTTTCTCGGAAAAGAGGCGCAGATGCCCTCGGGAGCTGGCACCACCTCTGATCACAGGATCTGGGTATCACTTACCCAGGCGCTCAGCGGACCAGGTGGCCCCCATAAAGTACAAGTGTTGAGACTTGCTGCCAGCAAGGGAAGCAAAAGGCACTGGGGAGACAAGAGAGAAACCCTTTCAAGTGG